CCCTTTACAAATTCTGCTCATTTTTTTTGAGATGGATCTCACTCTGTCACCCAGGCTGGAGTACAATGGCACGATCTCGGCTCACTGCAACCTCCGCCTCCCAAGTTCAAGCAATTCTGCCTCGGCCTCCCGAGTAGCTGGGATTACAGGCACCCACCACCGCACCTGGCCAATTTTTTTGTATTTTTAGTAGAGACAGGGTTTCACCATGTTGGCTAGGCTGGTTTCAAACTCCTGACCTCAGGTGATCCGCCCGCATTGGCCTCCCAAAGTGTTGGGATTATACCCCCTTGTCTGTTTATAACTACTTTTTCTGACATTGAGAAACTTGGCTCTCCTTATATGTAAATATGTTTCCCTGTGAAAAACAGATTTACCAAATAGAGTTCAGTGTTTGCGTACAACTGTTTCTGTCTTTAGCCTTACGGTATCTAGAGAGAGCACTGTTTTCTTAAAGTTATAGGTCAGCTCCTTTCCTCCTCACCCCCTTCAGTGAGATTATGTCTTACTCTATAATACAGTCAGATTCATTTGTCCACAGCCTTTACTCCATCCCAACATCCTGGATTTTTTTTTTTTTTAAGGCAAGGTCTTGCTCTGTCACCCAGGATGGCATGCAGTGGTGCAATCTCAGCTCAGTGCAACCTCCACCTCCCGGGCTCAAATAATCCTCCCACTTCAGCCTCCCAGGTAGCTGGGACTACAGCCACATGCCACCACACCCGTCTAACTTTTCGTACTTTTTTGAGGGGGTAGAGATGGGGTTTTGCCATGTTGCCCAGGCTGGTCTTAAACTCCTGCGCTCAAGCAATCCATCTGTCTTGGCCTCTCAAAGTGCTGGGATTACAGGCATGAGCCACTGCACCCTCACTTCCTGGCTTTTTAAAAGTTTGCATGCAGTAAAACCATTATTTGTTGTGTGTAGTTCTGTGGGTTTTGACAAATGCATGCAGTCATGTATCCACCACCAAAGAACCATACAGAACAATTCTGTTACTCTAGAATTTCCCTCTGTAGTCAGCCCATCCCTTTACCCTAATCCCCAATCTGTTTTTGATGTCACATAAGTGGAATCAAATAATGCATATTCTTTGGGTCCGGTTTCCTTCCCTTAGCAAAATGCGTTTAAGATTAATCCATGTTGTTAGATGAATCAACAAGCAGAGTTTAAGAAGACTACACATCTGCTTTAATAATGCTGGTATAGGCTGGCTGCAGCAGCTCAGACCTGTAATCTTAGCTACTCCAGAGGCTGAGGTGGGAGGAATGCCTGAGCCCAGGAGTTTGAGGCTGCAGTGAGCTATGGTCATACCACTATACTCCAGCCTGGGCAACAGAGGGAGACCTCATCTCTGAAATAATAATAATAATAATAATAATAATAATAGTGGTATAGATGGTTCATATTTTAACCACAACAATTATGTCTTTGTCCTTAGGTTTAGATCATATAAATTATAGGTTCCAATTATACAAATATGCAAAGTTACATACTATGAGGTAATAAACAATACACAATAAATTGGTGATGAAGCAAAACCATCAGTAGTTTACAAATAAAAGAACAGCAGCCTTTGAAAACAATGATCAACATAAGTATAATATAGTAGTAATAATCTTCTTGAAAACTGCAGGCATTGCAGGTAACTGGTTGAGGCCATGTGAAGTAGGTGTTCTGCCGTGCCACCTTAGAATGTAGAATTACGAATCCTTAGAAAACTAATCATCCTCACAAATACCTATTTCCAATAATCCTTACTAACTCAAGTAATTTACCAGTAAGTTGCTCTAAGTCTTAGGCAAAAATAAACTCTACTACTTGTTGTTCATCAGAACTAAAGAGGCTGGGCACAGTAGCTCACGCCTATAATCCCTGCACTTCGGGAGGCTGAGGTAGGAGGATCGCTTGAGCCTAGGAATTCGAGACCAGCCTGGGCAATATAGTGAAATCCCAGCTCTATAAAAAATATTTTAAAAGTTAGCCAGGTGTGGTAGCACATGCTTGTAGTCCCAGCTACGCTGAGGTGGGAGGATCACTTGAGCCCAGGAGGTCAAGGCTGCAGTGAGCTATGATCGTGCCACTTCACACCAGCCTGAGTGACAGAGCAAGACCCTGTCTCAAAAAAAAATAAATAAATAACTGAAGAAAGAAATTGCAGTTTTAGTTCAATCTGTCACTTGTCAGAGGAACTTCTTGTTTCACTGATGAACTTCAGACACGCTTAAAAATCACTGAATAGGAAGAGGGATAGTCAGATTGTATTTATTGATTTCAGTGCTGTGCAATGAACAGCTTTCTAACACTTTTTTATGAAATTATTTTTATTAAGAAACCCTAAGCACCAAGAGCCATAAAAAACCCATATCATTTGCTGTTATAGCCCACAAAGGGAATATGAGTAGATTATATATATACTCCCTTCCCAAAACAAAGAAAAATTCCAAAAACACATGAATGTGGCTGAGCGGCTGGCTCACACCTGTAATCTTAGCACTTTGGAGGCTGAGGTAGGAGGATCACTTGAATCCAGGAGTTTAAGACCAGCTGGGGAACATGGCAAAACCCCATCTCTACCAAAAACAGAAACAAACAAACAAAAAAAAGCAGGGGTATGGTGTCATTGCCTCTGTAGTCCCAGCTACTTGAGAGGCTGAGGCAGGAAAATGGCTTGAGTCTAGTTCAAGGCTACAGAGAACCATGATCACACCACTGTACTCCAGCCTGCATGACAGAGCAAGACCTACCTGTCTTGATAGATAAAGAATGTGTCGAGGACACTTTTAATTTCTGCATTACAATATTGTACAAAACAGTAGTGAACCCTCTCAGCCCACAGTGGGCACATAGCTCTTTTTGTTAATCATGTGTATATGACTGCAGTGTACCTCCTGGGAACACCATCTGTGAACCTCAGGGAATTTGTGAAATAACCTTTTCTGTTCGGGGCATTGGAAAGGAGAATCAGGGTACTTGCTTTGGCGGCACATATACTAAAAGAGAATCAGGGTGAGATGCTTACCAAAAAAGGTGCACATGTAGAAGCATGCATCACAAACAAGAAGTTTTAGAAGCCACCTGTTCGTGTATGTGTGTGTTTTTGTTTGCTTTTGGAGACAGGGTCTTGCTCTGTTACCCAGGCTGCAGTGCAGTGGCATGATCATGGCTCCTCATTGCAGCCTCAAAACTCCTGGGCTCAAAGGGTCCTCCTACTTCAGCCTCCCAAGTAGCTGGGACTACAGGCATGCAACTTCACAACGGGCTTTTTTTTTTTTTTTTTTTTTTTTTCTGTAGCAATTTGCTTTTGTTTGTTTGTTTGTTTTTTGAGACGGAATCTCTCTGCATCACCCAGGCTGGAGTGCAGTGGTGCGATCTCAGCTCACTGCAACCTCTGCCTCCCAGGTTCAAGCGACTCTCCTGCTTCAGCCTCCCGAGTAGCTGGGACTACAGGTGTGTGCCACGATACCCAGCTAATTTTTGTATTTTTAGTAGAGACAGGATTTTGCCATGTTGGCCACGTTGGTCTCGAACTCCTGACCTCAGGTGATCCACCTGCCTCGGCCTCCCAAAGGAATAAGCCACCTCACCTGGCCTTTGTAGTAATTTGGATCTTAGTTCTTAGAAGCCCCAACTGATAACGATCTCAATTAGAATTCTCACTGGACAACTCAGGAGGCTGAGGCTTGAGGATGGCTTGAGCCCTGTTGTTCAAGGCTGTAGTACACTATAATTGTGCTTGTGTATATCCACTGCACTCCAGCCTGGGTAACACAGCAAGACCCCATCTCAAAAAAAAAAAAAAAAAAAAAACACAATCCTTACTGGGAATGCCAAGGCAACTATACCCATAAACCATCTCTAGAGTCAACAAAACCAGTTCAAGTAAGATCTGAGAAACATGGTATCTTGCCTATCTAAAAGGCACTGCTAATGGGCAGTTTTATATCAGGTTTAGCATTGTATGTGGCATGAATTTTACAGTCTTTTAACTCTGACCAGTAGCTTTACATTAAAAAAAAAAAAAAAGTCCATTCTAAATACCCTTTGGCTGTGATCTAGCAGCAATTTCATGGACTTCTCATCCAGAGGCAGACTATGAATTCAAACAGTGGTGTTATAACTGACCTAGGATTAAAACTAGAATTTGAAAGGCAATCACTATATAAATATATATATTTATATATTTATATATATTTATTTATATATATTTATATAGTGTTTATATAGTATTAAATATATTTATATATATTTATATAGTATTTATATAGCCACCACGCTCGGCTCTGAGTTATAATTTTTTTTCTTAGTTACACACTAAATGAGCCCCTTATAGACAAGTTATTTAATAACCTTCCCAGAGATAGTCATGACTTCTAATCTCAACATATTATCTGCTCTTATGCTTAGTCAAATTGCTCAACAAAAACAAAGAAATGAACCCATCCATGGCCATCTGATGCAAGGGCCTAGAAATATCTTAAATGGTAATTTGAAAAGGATAATAAATCATGTGACATTTAAGAAATTGGTTTTGGTAAGGTTAGGCTAGTAAGTCTGTGAATTTGTTTTATTTCCCCATAGAAATAAGGAGTTGGTGGGGTGCGGTGGCTCACGCCTGTAATCCCAACACTTTGGGAGGCTGAGGTGGGCAGATCACCTGAAGTCAAAAGTTCGAGACCAGCCTGGCCAACATTGTGAAACCCCATCTCTACTAAAAATACAAAAATTAGCCAGGCGTGGTGGTGCACACCTGTAGTCCCAGCTACTCAGGAGGCTGAGGCAGGAGAATTGCTTGAACCTAGGAGGCAGAGGTTGCAGTGAGCCGAGATCGCGCCACTGCACTCCAGCCTGGGAGACACAGCAAGACTCCATCTCAAAAAAAAAAAAAGAAAGAAAGAAAGAAGGAGTTCACATTCAAGAGGCTTAGAAAACGAAATAAATCTTCTTTGATCTGGTTGTGTTTTCAGGATAGTCTAATTAAAAAATTATCCTTGCATTTCAGGCAATTTCTCGACATACGCGGGAGCTCCTGGAAATTGAAGAACCATTATTCAAACGCTCCATCAGCCTTCCCCATAGGGATATTATCGGCTTGTATTTAGAGCAAAAAGGTCATACGGGGATAAAATCTGATGCCTTGACTTTATCTGAATTTGTCAAAGCAGCAGGATTACAGGATTATGCACCAGAAATAACTGCCCCTGAAGAGAATGAGGAATTACCTTGCACTGAACCATAGGAGAAAGCCGCTTCACAGAGCTTGAAAGATCAAACTAAATTACTTGCGGGAAGAGGTATGGTCTTTTTTGGTTTTCTTTTTCTCCTTTTTTTTTTTTTTTTTTTTGAGACAGAGTCTTGCTCTGTCGCCCAGGCTGGAGTGCAATGGTGCAGTCTCAGCTCACTGCAACTTCCAGGTTCAAGCAATTCTCCTGCCTCAGCCTCCTGAGTAGCTGGGATTACAGGCACCCACCACCACACCCAGCTAATTTTTGTATTTTTAGTAGAGATGATGTTTCACCATGTTGGCCAGGCTGGTCTCAAACTCCTGACAGTTGATCTGCCCGCCATGGCCTCCCAAAGTGCTGGAATTACAAGCGTGACCTACTGCACCTGGCCCTTTTTCTCCTTTTCATTAAGATCAGAGTTAGAACTGCTGGCTTCATTCCTAGTTGTGTCTCTGACTTATGTTACCTTCCCTTTGTTTTTGCAATTTAACCCCTTGTTAAAACAAAGATAGTCACGCTTATCTTTCTGGGTAATTATAAGAATTCCTGAGCTGGACAAGGTGGCTCACATCTGTAATCGTAGCACTTTGGGTGGCTGAGGCGGGCAGATCACCTGAGGTCAGGAGTTCAAGACCAGCCTGGCCAACAAGGCGAAAACCCATCTCTACTAAAAATACAAAAATTAGCTGGGCATGGTGGCACATGCCTGTAGTCCCAGCTACTCAGGAGGCTGAGGCAGGAGAATCATTTGAACCCAGGAAGCAGAGGTTGTAGTGAGCTGAGATCGTGCCACTGCACTCCAAGCTAGGTGACAGAGCAAGACTCTAAAACAAACAAAGAAAACAAAGCAAAACAAAATTCCTGAAAATTCTAGTAATGCACCTTGTAGTAGGAACACGTTGGGGAAATATAATTAAAAATAAAATCTCCTGCCAACTCCAGAGAGAGAATTCTCTCCACAAATGCAGAAAAGAAACATTTTTATTCTTGAATAAGCATTAAACTATGATGCACATCACAGGCAAGCTGCTAAAGAGATTGCAAAGACAAATCTCACCCTTTTAGATGGCAGAGCAGATACAATCCATGACATACATGTTAATTATCTGTGTCCAAAGGAAAAATAAAACTTCTGTCTTGACAACAAGCAGAAGTTACTATTTGGAGCCAGGTACCTAGGCTAAACTCCCACAGAGACAGGGAGACAAAGCACCAACCTCCTCAGTGCTCACATTTCAAAGAGATGTCGCCATGGCATCCCAAAAGAGTATGTCCTGAAGTATAAAATGCTAGAGACTTATTCAGCTTTTTAAAAAGATTTACATACATCTCCAGGGCATAGTAAAAGGATTTATGGTGACAAGTTCTTTAAAGGAAATGGTTGTTTTTTGTTTATTTTTTTGAGATGGAGTCTCACTCTGTTGCCCAGGCTGGAGTACAATGGTGTGATCTTAGCTCACTGCAACCTCCACCTCCTGGGTTCAAGTGACTCTCCTGCCTCAGCCTCCTGAGTAGCTGGTATCACAGGAATGAGCCACCACACCCAGCTAATTTTTTTGTATTTTTAGTAGAGACGGGGTTTCACCATGTTGGCCAGGCTGGTCTCAAACTCCTGGCCTCAAGAGATCTGCCTGCCTCGGCCTCCCAAAGTGTGGGGATTACAAGCATGAGCCACTGCGCCCGGCCTAAAGGAAACGTTTTACGAAAAAGAAGTGGAGAAGTTCTCTCTTCCTTTTGGCATCAGGGAAAATTTAAAAGAAAAAAAATTTTTTAGCTATGTATGTATCTAAATATGTAAATATCTAAACATGGCTTACCACTATGAAATAGGTTCTGTGGTTTGCTTACAGACTCTTTCATGTGGTACTTTCCAGGTCTTTATAATATAAAATTTAGGCTAGAGTCTACCCATGACTGCACTTCTCAAAAGAAATTATAGGCTGGGCGCAGTGGCTCATGCCTGTAATCCCAGCACTTTGGGAGGCCGAGGCAGGTGGATCACCTGAGGTCAGGAGTTTGAGACCAGCCTGGCCAACATGGTGAAACCCCGTCTCTACTAAAAATACAAAATTTAGCCAGGAGTGGTGGTATGTGCCTGTAATCCTAGCTACTCAGGAGGCTGAGGCAGAAGAATCACTTGAACCCGGGAGGTGGAGGCTGCAGTGAGCCAAGATTGCGCCATTGCACTCCAGCCTTGGCAACAGAGCGAGACTCCATCTCAAAATAAATAAATAAATAAAAATAAAAAAGAAATTATAGGCCGGGCGCGGTGGCTCACGCCTGTAATCCCAGCACTTTGGGAGGCCGAGGCGGGCGGATCACAAGGTCAGGAGATCGAGACCATCCTGGCTAACACTGTGAAACCCCGTCTCTACTAAAAATGCAAAAAATTAGCCGGGCGAGGCGGCGGGCGCCTGTAGTCCCAGCTACTCGGGAGGCTGAGGCAGGAGAATGGCGTGAACCCGGGAGGCGGAGCTTGCAGTGAGCCGAGATCGCGCCACTGCACTCCAGCCTGGGCGACTAAGCGAGACTCTGTCTCAAAAAAAAAAAAAAAAAGAAATTATAAAATATTTCTCATTACCTGAATGGCTCCAGTTCCCCTCTAGTTTTACAGATTTAACTGCTCATTCTCTTCCTGAACTCACATTTTAATCCTGAAAACAACTGTGGGCTAACAACAGTCCTGAAGGACAGTGATGAACCTCCAGTTCCCTACACCTGAATGAATAGTAAAAGATATATTTTTCTGTTTTTCCACTGACAGAAGCAAGAGTGCCTCAAATGAACGTTCATGCCAAGTGTTAATATTTGATGATGAACCTAATATTTTCCCAAATTGGACTAACAAAATTTTATCAGAAACCATTCTAACACCATACCATTGCATTTGCCTGGCTCACGATTATGTAAAAAAATGAAATGTAAATGATTAACCTAAGACCATGGTGATTTACATATATAGCGAAAGGTTTTGTTCAAAAGCCGTTTAGCATTTAGCAAACAGCAGTTATGTTCTATGACAGAGCATAGTGACATCCCTGTTGTTTTCAACTGTTATAATTGACAAAAAGTATTTGCAAAACATAAAGGAAATCAACAAATTTGCAATACAGATCTATATTTTGCAAAGTTAGTTTTAGCCATTAAATACCAGTTTTTAAAATGATTTAAATGGGAACAGCTGTAAATAAGATAGTACAAGAACAGTCATATATAGTCAAAATAATCATGAGAGAAGCCATAATTCAATTAAGATGGTTTACCATACCTTCACTTCCCTATCCAAAATTGTGAGAAAATCAAACTATATCTTTTTCCAGCTACCTACTGCTGGCAAATGGATTGAAATTTGATTTATTGGAAAAGAAGTTGCAGTATGTAATTGTCTAAAACTTATAACATTATAACTTCTTGGATTTTAGAAGAGAAATAATTTGTATTAATAAGGCTTTTCTGCGGGAGCAGCTTACTTAAGTTAGGTTGTATAGTTTCACTAGTTGCTTCTGAAAGCCAGATACATATTGATGGATAGGACCACTTGTTTTATTCTACGTTTTCCTCATCAGTACAGTTTTCTAATTCCTGATGTCTATCATGTGGCAAACACAATACAGTCACAAGACTCCCACAGTCAATTGTGATAATCAGGGCATGATATTGTAGGGAAAATCTGTGAGTGGGAAAAAATCCTGATTCCCGAGTTCTCTTATTGGGATGGAGAGCCTGTGGAAACGACTGGCTGTTCTTTGGTTAGGGAGATGCCAAATGAAGCACAGTACAGATGGGTAAGGTGGTCTTGGAGAACAGGACTGCTTGAGAGATGCTGGCTAAATGGAGTTTCCTTGAGTTGCACAGCGGTCAGATCAAACCAGGGGAAAGGCCTGAGGTGAAAGAAAAATTGTTACTTTTTTATGTCTGTTCAGTATATCTGATTTGGCTGTCAAACACATCTTTTAAAGGAAGTTTTCCTCATAACCTTTTCATAAACTAGAAATTCAGCTAGAACTAGTCAATGTGTAGATTTAAGTGTACTTAATGGTGATTTATCACACTTATGTACATTTCTCTAAGTGTGTTTGGAGAGGAATTCATAGAGAATTATTGTAATATTGACATTGACACCCTTTGCAGAATATTTTTCTTGAATTTAGAAAGAACATAACATAAGAAGATCGTGGACATTAAGCAAGGAAGAAGTGTTATTGCTTTTAAGATAGCCTCTTTAGCTGTATAGATTAAAAAGTAGGCTGGGTGCAGTGGCTCATGCCTGTAATCCTAGCACTTTGGGAGGCCAAGACAGCAGGATCACTTGAAGTCAGGAGTTTGAGACCAGCCTGGACAACACAGTGAGACCCCATCTGTACAAATTAAAACAAAAAAAAAATTAGCTGGATGTGGAGGGACACACCTGTAGTCCCAGCTACTCAGGAGGCTGAGGTGGGAAATTGCTTGAGCCCAGCAGGTCAAGGCTGCAGTGAGCTATGATCACACCACTGCACTCTAGCGTGGGCTACAGAGTGAGACCCCCATCTCTAAAAAAACAGAGAGAGAGGAAAGTTAATATGCAAATGAATACTTAACGGGGCAACGTTAAATATTAGTCTATAGTGTAATTCAAGGTAAAAAGCCTTAAGACGGCCGGGTGCGGTGGCTCAAGCCTGTAATCCCAGCACTTTGGGAGGCGGATCACGAGGTCAGGAGATCGAGACCATCCTGGCTATCACGGTGAAACCTGTGATACTAAAAATACAAAAAATTAGCCGGGCGCGGTGGCGGGCGCCTGTAGTCCCAGCTACTTGGGAGGCTGAGGCAGGAGAATGGCGTGAACCCGGGAGGCGGAGCTTGCAGTGAGCTGAGATCCAGCCACTGTACTCCAGCCTGGGTGGCAGAGCGAGACTCCATCTCAAAAAAAAAAAAAAAAAAAAGCATTAAGACATAGGGTTTCGATATTTTTCAAAAGATCAGGAGAGCCAGGCACGATGGTGCGCACCTGTAGTGCCAGCTACTCAGGAGGCTGAGAGAAGAGAATTTCTTGAGCCCAGGAGTTCAAGGCCAGCCTGGGCAACATAGTGGGACCCTGTCTCTTAAAAAAAAAAAAAAAAAAAAAAAGATCAAGAGTAAGGCTAAGGCAAAGATACCTGCTCTTACCAGTCTTATACAACACAGTACTGACAGAAGTTCTAGGCAATGCAATAAGGCAATAAAAGGAAATTAGAAGGCATGGACATTGGAAAGGAAGAAATGAAACTGTCTCTATTCATACATGACATTATTATCTATGCAGAAAACTCCAAGGAATCTTTTTTTTTTTTTTTTTTTTTTTGAGATGAGTTTCATTCTTGTTGCCCAGGCTGGAGTGCAATGGTGCGATCTCAGCTCACCGCAACCTCTGCCTCCTGGGTTCAAGTGATTCTTCTGCCTCAGCCTCCCAAGTAGCTGGGATTACAGGCATGCATCACCACGCCTGGCTAATTTTGTATTTTTAATAGAGACAGGGTTTCTCCATGTTCGTCAGGCTAGTCTGGAACTCCTGACCTCAGGTGACCCACCTGCCTTGGCCTCCCAAAGTGCTGGGATTACAGGCATGAGCCACTGCACTCAGCCCAAGGAATCTATTTTTAAAACCTCCTAGAACTAATGAATTCAGCAAGGTTGCAGGATATAAAATAAACATATAAATATCAATTGTATTTATATATAATAGTGATAAACATGTGGACACCAAAATTGAAAATGTTATTTCATTTATTGTCACTCCAAAAAATGATATACTTAAATGTAAATCCAATAAAACATGTACAAGACTTGCATAATAAAAACTATAAAATGCTGATGAAATCAAAGAATATCTAGATAGAGAGACATACTATATTAATGCGTGGGAAAACTCAACAAAATGTCAGTTTTCCAAAAATTGATCTATAGATGTAATCATAAAATAAAAATTATTGACAACACCAGTTGCTGGTAAGGATGCAAAGAAACTGGATTATACATTGCTAGTGATAATATACACTGGTACTACTATGAAAAACAATTTGGCAGTGTCTTAAAAAAGTAAATATTCAACTACCAAATGACAATAATTACACTCCTGGTCATTCATTCCAGGTAAGCGGACACTTATGTTCACACAAAAGCCTGTATATGCATATTCATAACACCCTTATTCATAATAGCCAAAAACTGGAATCAACCCAGATGTCCTTCAACAGGTGAATGGTTAAACAAATTGTGATACAGCCATGCCATGGAATATTATTCAGCCATAAAAGCCACTATTAATACACATAACAACTTGGATGAATCTCCAGGGACTTATGCTGAACGAAAAAAGCCAGTCTCAAAAGGTGGCATACATATGATTCCATTTATATAACATTCTTGAAATGACAAAATTATAGGAATGAAGACCATATTAGTGGTTACCAGGTTTGCAGCTGTGAGGAGGCAACATGAAGAATTTGTTAGTGAAAGAAACTGTTCTATATCTTAACTGTATCAATGTCAATATCCTGGCTGTGATATTGTGCTACAGTTTTGCAATATCTATTTCCATGGATGGAAAATGGGTAAATGGGTACATGGGATTTCACTATTATTTCTTAACAATTTCATGTGACTCTGTATTTATCTCAAAAAAAAAAAAATTATCTTGGCTGGGTGCAGTGGCTCACACCTGTAATCCCAGCACTTCGGAGGCTGAGGCAGGCGGATCATTTGAGGTCAGGAGTTCAAGACTAGCCTGGACAACATGGTGAAACCCTGTCTCTACTAAAAATACAATAAAATCAGCCAGGCTTACTGGCTGAATCCCAGCTACTCAGGAGGCTGAGGCAGGAGAATCGTTTGAACCTGGGAAGCAGAGGTTGCAGTTAGCCGAGACTGCACCACTGCCTGGGTGACAGAGCTCAACTCCATCTCAAAAAAAAAAATCTTGAATTCCAGTTTCTGGTCCAACATGTAAAAAGCTAGAAGTTGCCACTCTATCCTAACAATAATTAAAAAGCTGAACTAAAAAATCAATAACTCTTCTAGATGTGTAAGAAAGGTAGGGTCAAGAGCAAACTACTCTCCCTAAGACTGCAGGGACCAGAACGCAAATGCTCAGAATTAGCTTGCTAGAGGAGAAGCTCATGGGCTGAAACCTCTAGGGGAACCCAGTGCCAAGATAGGGAACCCGGAACTGTAACTGACAAGTTGCTGGAGGTTCAGAGTGGACAAGTCTGAGAATAAAAATGTCAGGGGGACCCAATTATTGGGGACCCTCACACATGATTTTTACTTCTAGGAGTTCAGCCAGGTTCTCAGTGATATGTGAGAAGAAGCCCCTTGTGCTTCCGTCAGAGGGAGAGGAAAAGGAACCATTTTGAAATATGCCATCTTAGCAGGGTTTGCCCTTGGGAGAAACTATTTAACCAGAGCCAAACCTTCTGGGGTTTTGTCTGAGCCTGACTGACCTGGGGGAAGAGAAATAGCCAGTTCCAGTCAGGTCTGCCCTTCCACGTGGAAGGAGTGGGCTCCTCAACTCCAGCCCACTTTAGCCATCCTGTTCCACTGAAGAAGGAAAAAAAACCTGAGAAACATGTGTGAAGTGTCCAGAGCACAGGCTCACTCAAAGACTGAGACCTACTCATAGGACTATAGAACACCTCCCCTCCTCGACTCCTTACTACATTATTAAAGTCCTATTTACAGGCCAGGTGCAATGGCTTACACCTGTAATCCCAGCATTTTGGGAGGCCGAGGCAGGCAGATCACAGTGTCAGGAGTTTGAGACCAGCCTGGCCAACATGGAGAAACCCCATCTCTACTAAAAATACAAAAATTGGCTGGGTGTGGTGGCGGGCACCTGTAATCCCAGCTACTCAGGAGGGTGAGGCAGGAGAATCGTTTGAACTCAGGAGGCGGCGGTTGCAGTGAGCCGAGATTGCGCCATTGTACTCCAGCCTGGGTGACGGGCAAGACTCCCCCCGTCTCAAAAAAAAAAAAAAAAAAAAAAAAAAGGCCTATTTACACCAGTTCTTTTTACCTGGTACATCATGTCTGACTATCAAGAAAAAGTTAACAGGCATAGTAAAAGCCAAAAAACAAAAAAACACCAAAACCCACACTTTGAAAAGGTAGAACAAGCATCAGAACCACATATAGGAGGAATATTGGAATAATCAGACTGGGAATTTAAAATAACTATGAGACCAAGCAAGCTGACTCGCTCCTGTAATCCCAGCAATCTGGGAGGCCGAGGTGGAAGGATTGCTTAAGCCCAGGAATCCAAGCTTGGGCAACAAAGTGAGACCCCAGTCTCCACAAATAAAAAACCTAGCCAGGCATGGTGGCATGTGCCTGTGGTTCAGCTACTCGGGAGAGGTGGGAGGATCACTTGAGCTTGGGAGATTGTAGCTGCAGTGAGCAGTGATCATGCCACTGCACTCTGGCCTAGGTAACAGAGCAAAACCGTGTCTCAAAAAATAAAATATGACTAATATGTGAAAGGATCTAATGGATAAAGTAGACGGCAAGAACAGCCAGACTACGGAAGCAGAAAGAAGGAAGTTCCAGGAACCAAAAATAAATACTACTCATCAAAAACACTGTGACAGATATGAAGAATGTCTTTGAGGCCCCTATTAGTAGACTGTACATGGCCGAGGAAATAATCTCTGAATTTGAGGATATTTCAACAGAAACCTCCAAAACTGAAAAGCAAGGAAAACAAAGACTGAAAAATACCGAACAAAATATCCAAGGGCTGTGGGACAACTACAAAAGATGTAACATGCATATAATGAGACTAGGAGGAGGAGAGAAAGGAACACAAGAAATATTTGAAACAATAGTGACTGAGAATTTCCCCCAAATTAATGTCAGACACCAAACC